CTAGTTCTATTTCACTTATACAACATCTGATTTTACATGCCGCTCTATAAGATGTCATGTGATTTGTAGAGCCCGAATCCATGATCCACTTGCAAATGTACTTGGAATATGATACATCTTGTGTTGCAAAAGTGTAATCATCTTTATCCTTAGCATAGTTGGCAGCCTCCTTCTCCTTGATTTGGTTTGCATTGTCTCGCACACACTTCTTTGCCTTGAAGCAATATCTTATAATGTGGCCTAGCTTGCCACAATTGTCACACACCTTGGATTCTTCACGTGAGAATGAGCTACCTTCTTTGTTTTGTCTTGATACAAAGGCCGTATCATCACCATAAACCTGCTTCTATTTGCGTGTAACAACAGATAAATACCAAAATGGAGCATAATTGTATAGATTCGATATCACAAGTACAAAAACAATATTAGAGATTTAAATATTGTCACGATTAACATTCTATTGAGGAGTTTTACTTCTAATGCACATGTCACTCCCAAAAACATCTATAAGAGTCAACCCAAAGGCTATACAAATGTAGGGTGTAAACACATCAAGTTACTGAAATACATCCAATAAACACCACAGATAAAGCAAGCAAATCTGCACTTGAAATTTAGAACGAAACTTCCCAGAGATACATGCTCAACCTGCTGCACCGAGCAATCAATCTACAGGTTTGCTTAAATCTTTAGCTACACTTTGCACCACTCAGAACACCCGAGATGGCTATTCTACTTCAGATGCGTTATCTATGACAAACCAAATCACATCTTGCACTATCACAAAACGCACAACTCACGAACATGTAGAGGTATGCAGATTAAAAGCAAAAAATTGTTCTACAGAAAAGTTATCCAAGTGAAGCCTTGGAACACTTTATTCACAATGAACACTTGGAGGATCACCCACTAGCAACGAGCATCCATCAAGTGCGACGGCAGTTGTTGCCACATCCGCAGAGCACCTAACTACTTCTATCTTACTTAGAATTGCAGTGAGCTCTAATTCTAAGTTCTCCCTAGTCTCTTCCAAGCCAGATATGAAAGAACTAAGTATTCTACCTAACTGTCGATGTAGTTCTACCTCGTTGGACTCTAGCGCTCTCAACCAACACTCCAATAATTCCAACTTCAACCACTTCGTGGTCTGAATCTTGTAATACACATAAAGGCGAAGGCAACGTTCTGATCTAGCTCTTAAGCCGACAATTTTCTACTGCTCCAGGTGTCTAATGTTTGCTTTTGTCTCCATCAATTTTGCCTTAGCAGCAACCAACTGCCCCTCAATTGCCGACACTTGAGATTGCAAACTTATGCAATCTGCATCCAATTCTTTCATACACTCCAACTTCAAAGATCTGGCAGCCTCGCAGGTTGGTAATCAATCCTGCCAAAGAGCTATTTCGACAACCACCAACAGCTCTTGTGCCGCCAGACGCTCTGCCAACTCCTCCGCGCGTTGAAATTCCCTCTGAAACATACCGCAAGACTCCTCTAATCCGTCCTAAAGTTACTCCTTCGCCTTCTGAACTGTGAAGACTTCAACCCAAAGATCTGCGCATCCTTGTTACTTTTGTGTATGAAGTCTACTTTCGGCAATTAGCTCTGGCCAAAGATATCTGCACTTCAACTCCTTCGCCCAAAGTTGCGCTTCTTCCTCCTACAAGGTATCTGTTGCGGTCACACAATCGGAATTCAAGATTGCAATCCGTTCTGTCACCCCGGCAACAATCGCTGGGGTGTTTTTCTGCGCACGAACTCTACATAAGAACCCGCCGAAGACGCTGGCATCGCATACTTCACCATCTTTCTACATAAGTACTTCACTAAAGGAACAATCCTCTCACTCAAAAGATCGGATAGACTAAACTCCATCGACAATCAATAAAGTACAGTAAAACCTGTCTAAAACAATAGTGTTGGTACCGGGGCGTCGATATTGAATTACACATTTTATTGATTTAGATAGGGCCGTTTAAATCAATTGAATTGATCACCAGGTTTAAGATGCTGTATGGAGATCAACGAGTCAGCAATGTTATCTTTGAATAAGGTTGAAAGAGAAGGAGAGAAGTTGCTCCCTTAAAATATTCCATAATCTGAATACTTTTTGGTACTTGCAGGATCCAAGTGAGCACAACCTTGATTATAAGTCGGACTTATTCGAAATATCAATATGTAGGGTTTCCATTCTGAGGCAAACACGCAGTGTATAGCGGGACACAGGTTTACAATGTGTACTGGCAATATGATTTCCTTGTGCTCACAAAAGTGCATGCCAGCGTGCGCACAGCTGAGCATCACTATTTCCAGAGAGTGAAGGTGAAAACAAAGGAAGGTCGCAATTGTTAATGAAGACTCGGTCAATCACTTCCGCAAGGACTCAACTACAAGTGACACGAATTACAGAATATATCAACCTGGGGAGGAAGAACTATCTTGGACATCATGACCTTGCCAGCCGTCTCTCGGGTATACGTGCATATGAGAGACTTTAGTTGTGCACCAGAATCAAAATAGAGAATCTACATGTTTTTTTTTTTTTTTTTTCCAGATTCTCATTCCGGATCTCCAACGCTTCAGGATGAACAGGCTTCTGACGCCTGAGGACCCAAGGGTTGATTGTATTGTATGCAGCATATTGTGTTGCGAACGTAGAAACATTCGGTGTTGGGAAATCCCTTCTCCCACCTGCCAGAGGGTTTGACTGGGCACCATCCTTAGCTCCGGGACGTATAAAACCTGCATACATGTTTCTTTCTACAGAGGATTTTAATCTCCAACAGTCTCTGTTCGTTAGTGTGTCAATTGTACACATGCACGAACGGATAAGGTCTATGTATTTGGGACTTGCACCTTACAAACCAAAGCTCCTAGTATGTGTTATATTTTGAGATGCTTGACTTAAAATTAATATGGCCTTTAATAATATCATTCGGATACCTTTAAGTCTTAAGTTCAATGTTGACTGACATCAATATAAATGGGAAATGGTAATAGACCAAGCCCAGGGGACCCAAAGGGTCAAAAGGCTGAAAAACAAAATATATATACCGAAACGCTTTCGTAGCCAGTCGATTCATATCCAAGATACGTTATTCTCAGATGTAGTATCTACGAACTTGAAATTTGCATATTTTGCATAAAAGAAAAACCTCGGGTCGCTTGACTACAATACTTTAAGGTGTCATTCGTATAATGGCCATTATCAAAACTTATGTATCAAACTTCAAAAGTGATTCGATCAAACATCAGAAATCCATGTATGGTATGAGAGTCCTCGGTCTCTGAACTCAGAAAGATGATTCCCATGTCCTTTGACTTTTGATGGACATTGAGCTTCCAGCACACAGGTGGTGCTTGTGAGGGCTCTTGGTTAATCCTCTCATCATATTTGCATGAAATGTCTCACATATGCTAGGCCTCCTGATGTTTCGTTTAAGACGATGATTCACCTGATAAAAATGCAGTGGCGAAAGAATTGAAGGACTGAAACTTCACGCAGAGAAGACAAAGTCCAATGTTTCCTTCACAGATGCCAACCGACTCAATACGGTGTATACAGGATTGAGTTTGAGAAAATAAAGGACTCCATTCTTCAGTTTTGGTGCTGTTGTTGAGGCTCTGCTCACCAGATACAGTGTTACTAAATCACATGTATGCTGTAGAACAGATTACGAGTTAAAAGTAATTTCTTGGCTACAAATCTGTAAACGAGGTGATAGAATACTCAAAACGTTCAAAGAGAAAAATCCTCTTCAAGCACACCGACCTTTTCAGAAGGTGATTAGCAGTGGATGTACACAGACTGTTTATCCTACCTTTGCCGCCAATGATTCAGAGTATCTGAACTTTAGAGAAGGATGACAAGGTATGCTCTGTATTAATCCAGTGGCTGCAGGTGCCTTGCCACGACGGATCGTACGGCAACACTGAACAGATGAATGCTCAAACTACTGGCCACATTTTGTGATTTCAGATGAGAAATCATTCTGAAAGTACAACTCTGCACGTTAAATTACGTGGTCTAATCAAGACAACACCATGCATTCCCTATCGATAAAAACTTCTCTTTCACCGAATGAAATTCTGCAAGGTAAGATGACAAAAAATATTTCAGTTGATGGTCAAACATCCAAGAAAAAAAAAAGCATTCAGCAAAGTTTCTCATGACGTTTCCTTGAATGCTGATGTATCTACAGATTTGCTGCCTTTTTTTAGAACTTCACATCGCAGCATTGATTTAGAAGACTAAGAACATGCAATTTTCTTTGTCTTTCCAAATCTCAAGTGGTTAGGGAGATTATGCTCTAACAGGTATAGCATTCTCTGAGACGGATTTGAGGTAATACCTACACATCTGTGTGTCAAATACGTGAGGTCATGTATGAGACCAAATCGCATAAAACTCGGGTAGGTACGTTCAAAGTCTTCAGAAATATCTTTTTTTTTCCCGTACATGATAGATCGCTGTATAAGAAGAGCCATTGACGAATCCAGAAAGCACTTGCGTCTGAATCCTCAGACTTCGCTTTCAGGTACTCAATTCAGCAGCCCTCAGTATGTACATGCTTCTTTGATTGCAGTAAAGAGGAAGCCATGATTTTACTTTAATAGGAAGCATCTTATAAGTTCTCTAATGCAGTTTCTTACCAAATGTACAATATTTCACTGTCAGAAATCTACAGCAAATAAGTTGATGTCCCTTTGCATGGTTCTGACTTCAAGATTCGAGAACTTCATCATGAAGTTCATGAATGTAGTACATGTGCAGAACTTCCTATTCATAAGAAATGCTTGGGATAGTCGAAACCGTTGAAAATGTCCTCTAGTCTTGATGATGCACGTCAGATTGTATATTTTGCTCCCCTGACATCGAAGTTTTTGACAATGTACGTGTTTGCAGGCAAGTCAACTTCCAGTCTAGCATTCAATTCAGTCGTTAGTAAAAAAATTCGTCGAAATCCTTAAGTGAATAGATTCAAGCTTCTTCTAGCACCATGGCGTTCTCAAGAACAATGCTCTCGTCCGTCGTCTTGGCGCTCTTCTCGTTGGTAGCAGTGGGGCAGGCGCAACTGTCCACAACATTCTACAGCAGTTCCTGCCCTACAGCATTGAGCATAGTACGACAACAGGTTGACAGCATCCTTGCATCAAATCCAAATCTTGCTGGAGGCCTGCAGCGCCTTCATTTCCATGACTGCTTCGTCCGAGTAAGTTTACCTGATATTTCTAGATTCACATCAATGATTGACATTCTAATTATGATAAATTTTCTACATCATCTAATATGTTGACTCCATAAAGCATATATCCATCGAAAATTTTGTAGCGAAATTCCTGATACAGCTAACGGACTTCAGAATCCCAGGAGAATGTCTTCTAAAATATTCACTTGTCATGAGATCGTTCCAGTCAGCCTCATGGCTTGAAAACACATTTCCTTCTAGATTATTTCAAAGGCTTGTCTCCAGGGGAACATTGTTCAGAAGCTGAAGCTAGAAAACTTCTTTCTGATGCTAAACACGAGCTGACATGAGGGCGTCTTTTACCATTCAGGGCTGTGATGCATCCGTACTTTTGTTCTCGGCCTCCTCAACGAATCAAGAGAAGGACGCCCAACCAAATCAAAACTCCTTGAGAGGATTCCAGCAAATTGATCAAGTTAATTCCGCCCTTGAGGCTGCATGCCCGGGCGTTGTCTCTTGCGCAGATATACTGGCCATCGTAGCACGTGATGCCACTGTCAAGGTACGTCTTACATGAGGAAATTCCTTCTCCAAAATGACTTGAACCGGTTCTTTGCTCACTGAAGGCTCCATCGACCACGAACAGATTCAGACTTAGTACAGGAGCACAGGAGCTCGCCGGAAGTTTCTATTTTCATTTGAAACAAAAGTCAAAAAGAGCCAAGCTATCCCGGCCCGCCATAAAATTGCTTTCAATAGATATAGTACTCCAAAGGGCTCTCCGTGCGGGTTACAAGGATCCTACTTCCGGTCAGGTCATAAGTTTAGACGAAGGCACTTCGCAGGGCTCGGTGCTGATTCAGCGTTTTGACCCTTTGGGTCCCCCGGGCTTGATCTATTACCATTTTACCATTTGATGGGATCTAATCAGCTGATTTTCGTCCTTGAAATCGATTCTGGTATTAACAACTACCCCCTGTGATGACACAACAGGCAGGAGGTCAAACCTGGCCCGTCCTTCTCGGACGCAGGGATGGGACGGTGTCATTAGCGTCGGAGGCCCTGGCGGCGCTCCCATCCCCACTCCTGAACCTCGGTCAGCTGATTCAAAATTTTGCTGCTGTTGGACTCAACGCATCGGACATGATCGTCCTCTCAGGTAATCAGCTTGTCTCCAGCTCTTCAGTCCAGTCCAGTTTACATTCAGTGTCATAGTGATCTGAGGGAGAACGACAGCACTCAGAATGGACTTGTATATTGCATCGGAGTGGCATGAAGAGGCAGATCTCTTTGTCTTCTCTTCGTGGCGGTCGTGGGGGTTTCTGTAATCTGGGACAGCATGCAGAGTAAAAACCTTGTGCAGTGCAGAGTGGTCATCAAAAGCATAAGACTCAATCTTCGGACGTGTTTGGCTTGTCCGTTCGATCAGGAGCGCACACCTTCGGCAGAGCACGCTGCGGTCCCGTTCTCAACCGATTGTACAACTTCAATGGAGTAAATGGACAAACAGACCCGAGCATGGACTCGACTTTGGCAGCCAACTTGAAGAAGCAGTGCCCTCCCAACGAAGTCACGACGATTATCACCATGGATTCTTCTCCAAACGTGTTCGACCGCACGTACTAAAAGCAGGTCATAACCAGGGAAGGACTTTTCACCTCAGATGCTGCACTCGCCACCGACTCCAGAGCACTAGCCCTGGCGACCAGATTAGCACAACCCGGTTCCACGTTCTTCGCCAATTTTGCAGCTGCCATGGTGAAGATGAGCAGAATCCAAGTGTTGACGGGTTCTCAAGGAGAGATTCGTAAGAAATGCTCTGTCAAGAATTAAAGTCCTATTTCTGAGAACTCGAAAGTCAGACGACCTTACGAAGCAATGAACCTGTCCTGTGCTCACCCTGATGCACATCTTGGTTTTATCGATTTCTCGAGCTCTGCCTGATAGAAACAGACTAATAGACGAAGCTAGAATAATTTGAGTCGGTATACGCCACACAAATTGTAAAGCCTAAGGGAGGTTGGTGCAGTCAGCGTTCAGGCCTCCGATTCTGCAGCTGATCAATGTACATAATTGCCAGCAGTAGCACATGCATTCATTAGCGAGCATAAGAATAATTCACCGGCCTTGTTTGGCTTGTCAGCTCGATACATTAAATGGAAAAACCTCTTGCTCATCTACTGAACTCAAGCGTGCGCACTGGAGCTTGCACATCCAAAATCTATGACTCTCACACGTTTTCTGAAAACTGTCTATCTCTTGTTCAAGTAAAGTGAAATGGCTAAAGGTTGTATGTGCAGAAAACTTTGACTCACTTTTAGTGGAAAACTTGTGGTAAGTTTTTTCAAAATAGATATATCTTCAACTTGATGTTGCCAAAAAATATTACTTATATACAAAGCTGATAACATAATGCCTATCAAATGTATTTCTTATGTCTCCAGCGGAAATCTTCAGAGAAGGGAGGACTTAAGTTAGTTAAATCGAAAAAATGACTCATTCCAAGCATCATGTATCATATATTGTTATAGATTTTCATTAGATATATGAAGTCCCTTGTAATTTATCCGAAGGGCTGATACAATCTCACTCAAAATTGAGAAACATAGAAACCATCTCTAAAATTACATCTAAACTATGCATTCACAATTACTAACTTTGGGTATGCTACGTCTTGCAAGAAGAATTGACTCACTAGTAGAGCTAGAACACACGACTTTCACTTATGCCACTTTAAGACGATGTTCGTAGAATATTGGACGTCCATGTAGACCTTCAGCTACTGTAAGCAACATGATTACATCGTCAATCAGTTCCAGCTCCTCTGATACACCTGCATGCAGTGAGAAATGCGAGAAACTTCATTCAGTCAAATTTTGTGAGGAATGCGACATATTATACAAATGTGTTGCACTATTTGCAATACTTCAGCTCGAGAAATACACGGATGACGAAGGTACGTCAAGAAAGGAACTAAGAGAGTCATGTGTTGATTCTTACGTGGATAAAGGAGCTCAAGAGTTTGGCAGCGCTGTGGGTCTCGCACCAAACATGCAGAATGCACCGAGAGAAGTTGTGTTTCTCTTCGACCCCGTGCCTCGCTACCATCTGAAAAAGTCATATGGATATGATTAATGGTTTCGATCATTATCTATATCTGCCAGTCCGGTCTGCACAATTTGTGCTCTTTGTCGTGATTGGCGCATGCCAGCGCTTGGATCATGATGGTCAATGAAACTTGGCCATCGCAGAGGACTACTTCGTAATTCTACACAAGTCCGTGAAAATGCATGGAATGCGTTTCTTCCTCGTGAAAGGAGTGGATTCTATCATGAGCACAATGCAGAATGTCAAGTGGTAAAGAACAGACAAACGGATAACGTGAGACGAACACCCTGCACTCTCTCACTAAAACCTTGATATCGATGCAGACGAACTTGAAGGCATGACTCACCAGACCAAAGAGCTTTTTGTACAAAAGTCTGTACGCTGTATCTATGGAGAACTGTTCTGGATCGGGATAAGACACTGCTCGAGTCACTGACACACTCACACGCTATCCGTACAAAGTGCATATATAATCTACTTTCTTCCCATTCTTCATGGAATAATCAACCTGCAGGCAATAGCAATGAGTTCAAGCTACCGCTACCCTATCTCATAAACAATGGAGTCCTTTATTTTCTCAAACACTTTCCTGAATTCACGGTCTTCAGTCGGCTGGCATCTGTTAAGGCAAACTTGACTTCGTCTTCCCGCATGAAGATTGAGTCCTATAAGGACGTTGATTTTCTCAAAACCGCTCTTCCTTCAGGTGAATCATTCTCTGAAAGAAACCATCACAGGAGGCCTACTTTGAATCCTTGCGGGGGTGGATGGGATGAACATTGTGTACACCTCAGTTGTTTTCTACTTTCTGGTGAAGTCGGTGGTTTTGTAGTGGGGTCTTCTCTTTCAAACAATTCAAAATTTTAGGAGCTTGTTTACTCATTTGTAGCCTAGAATTTTGAATCACTTCGTAAGCTGTTCTACCAGCTTGTGGTTCAACAACACTGTAACAGGTTAATAGAGCCTCATAAGGCAAACCTGACAAGTGCAGTCTTTTATTTTCTCAAATACATCCCTCTATACACAGAATTCAGTAGGCCGGCATTTGTGAAGGCAACACTGGACTTTGCCTTCTCTGCCTCTGCGTTCAGTCCTTGGGAAGTATATTGATGTCAATCTACATTGAGCTCAAGGCAGCCGACTATTACTCTTAAACGCCTTATTACTCGCACGTCAAGCATCTCAATATATACTACATACTAGGAGCTTTGGTTTGTAAGATGTGGACACAAATAAAATAGAGCATATCCCATCGTGCATATGCAGATATGACGCACTAACGAACAAAGATCCTCGGAGTTAGAGTCCATTGCAGAAAGGAATATGTGTGCAAGTTGGATACGTACCCTGGGAAGGAGGAGCTCAAGATCATCATGATCAAAACCTCTGGCAGGAGGGAGAAGGTGATTTCAAACCCAACGTAAAAAGCTGTATTCTATGTGGTACGTGACAGACAACATATTTTTGGCTTTGGCAAAAACATAAACAAAATTGCAAACTGAAGTGTAATTGCGAGCATCCGAATCCCATGTAGATTGAGCACTGAATCCCACGTGTAGTATATAAAATAGGTAAAATGTCTTGGAGGTTACCCATTGAAATGCTGGATTAAACACAACCATCCCTCAGGTCCTCAGGCGGCAGAATGTCTTCGCGCTAAAGATTTGGACCTGGCTGGCATGAGGATTTTGTATAGATGGAAACTGATAACATGTTCTTCTGCGGTTTTCAGTTTCGTGGACAAATATAGCCTCTCCTTTGCACGTGAGACGGCTGGCAAGGCCATGACGTCTTCCTCCCCCGGTTGATATATTTTGCACTGCATGGCCCTTGTAGTTGTCTGCATCCTGAAGTAAATGAAAACATCTACAATTGCGACCTTACCTTGCTTTCACCTTAACTCTCGGGAGGTAGTCAAGTCAGCTGGGAGCACTCTGGCGTGCTCTATCGTGAGCACAAGGAAATCGTTTTGGAATTGCACACATCTATGTGAACCGTCTTTTCAATGCAATCGAGCCAGTGTTTCGGAAGGCCTGTATCCCGCTGGACACTGCGTGTCTGCCTCCGTATGGAATGCTGAAACATCGATATCATGAATTTATTCCGAATCATTATAAAAATTGTACGTTCTTAGATCTTACTCCTTTAAAGTTATTGAGGAATTGTGGGTAATGGCATTCGTTTGTGTCATTCCTCGGACGTAAATACATTTTAGTATAGACACCAGTTTTAAGTAAGTCTACAAATGTATATAACAACCGTCGGAATCTCGAATTCCAAGATTTGATTTGAGTTATATTCTTGAGGTAAGCAGATTTTCATTTCTGTTCCAACCTGGTCTTCTCAAGGCTGACTTTCAAGCGCCGCCAATTCGATCCGCTATCAGCATCATTGGGAAAAGACCATGGTGCTCCTACTGTTGGGTAAGATGCTGCTGGTCGAAATCAGGGAGTCAGCCATTTGTTCTTTGAAGAAATTTGTGAATAAGAATAACTATCGGCATGAGATAATTTGAATATGAGATAGTACTTGCTAGAATATCCATGACATCACAACCGTGACTTTGATAAAGAGGTAATAAGTATTATATAACCGAAGGTCAAAACTCACATCAGCACTCCGAACATGCTGGTCCGCTAAGGTACCGACCACACAGCCGTTGTCAGATCGTGCACAGGTCACTCTTGAAGGGAAAGAAGAATGATAGGATTACACTCTTTATTTATGTTCACAATTTTACATTTCTAGAAAAGTTACAATCAATAACAGCCCTTTTGAGCAGAAACAGCCATTATTGCTGTTACTTTGTCTAAATGAAGTAAAGCAAGTATAGAGTACCAATTACAGCTATTCGAACTAGACTTTCGAAAATTATATATTGATCGTGTGCTTTTGATGAGAATAAGGTAGTGAAAAAACTTGGTGAACGAAGCATGAAGGTATTTTGTCTAGACTCTGATCCATGTTTTAATTTATAATTTTGAAGTAATTGTTCTTGTGGACGTTTTTTAAAGTAAAGAAGAGAACTATAAAATTACGGTAAATTTATTCAAGATTGGATATTTCAACCAATTTCGAACTAATTGAATGAGAGCAGTCATCTCAAGATCTCTTGTCGGAAGATAAGAGATCTCGCAGCGGAAGTCTTGAGAGAAGGTAGGACTTAAATTAATTCATTTGAGAAATCGACTCACTCCAACCATCATATATCCGGTATTGTTATAGATTTTCATTCAATTTTTTATGTGTCTTATAATTTATCCAAAGTTGAAATCATATCTCACTCAAACTTGGAAACATAAAATTTTTTTCAAGACCAGGTCGATCATGTGTATTTATTGTTCTCACATAGATCACCGAACACGCTGAAAAAAGTGCAAAATTCTATAAACTTTGCGAAATATAAGTTGAATATAATATATTATTCATTAGTTCATCGACGGATTGTAATGAAATATGCTATGTTACCGATCTCTTCTTATGAAACCTTTTTACAACTATACGTTCAAAGATTAACAGGTTTGTTGGATGTTGTATCTCTAAGAGCGAATTTAATTTTTCTTTCAGGGTATTTAAATATTTTGAAAAAGTATTGTGAAGTGACTATTTTTTAGATAGGAAATGTAGTAGTATTTTTTAAGTTTTTTCAATAGATAGTTTTGATCTGATAAAGTAAATACATCATAACTTTTTCAATTCGTACCCAATCAACTCAAATGGAGTTTCAATAGATAGAACTTGACACTCTTGTTCTAACGAGCTCAAGAACTCTTGAATCATCGAGTTATGAATGTCGGAAGTGGGTGGTATGAATAGGCTGAAGGATCTTCGGACTTCAGCTGAAATGTCTTCGGACTTCGGCTGAAGGGTCTTCGGACTTCGGTTGAAGGGTGTTCAGACTTCGGCTGAAATATCTTCGGACTTTGGCTGAAATATCTTTGGACTTCGATTGAAATGTCTTCGGACTTCGGGCGAAGGAACTTCAGACTTCTAATTTCGCGCGAGGGGACTTCAGACTTGGGACTCTGGACTTGGAACTAACCTGAGAGGGTATGATTACTGGACACCACCAATGATCAAGTTTCCCCATCGAGAGTGAAAATGCAGGTGTATGGGTGACATTAGGTGAGACTATTTTTAAGTGAGATTAGATGTGTTTTCAGTGTTTTATTCGAGTAAATACTCTTTGATCCTTAAAGAAGGCAAGGGGTGTTTTTGCCTTGACCTTTTGGAGTGCCTTGGGCCGGTCATGATACTATACAATCTGGTGTTGGAGAGAGGGGGGGAGGGGGGGGCATCAGGAGATTACAAGCTTAGAGCCTGAGAGGTAGTGTTCCTTTTTTTTTCCTCATGGCTAATTAAACGCAAGTTAGTGATACTTTGCTCGTGTGATGCATGTAGATTTCTAGCAGCCAACTCCCTTGGACTTTCCTCGTAAGGTAGCTGTGAGACGTAGTATTGAGATGACTGCTCTCATTCAGTGAGTAAGAAGATGGATTGAAGATGCAAACAGGGATTTAATTCAAATGTGGGAGATGGTGGCTCATGAGCAGACTTATTTGTAAAGCGAAGAGAGTTTTTTACCGGAGTAAATCAAATTTGTCTGGACATAGAACCTTTAGCCATTTTCTTTTTTTATACAAGAAATAGACAGTCTTCAGAAAAAATGAGAGTCATAGATTTTGGACATGCAAGCTCCAGTGCAGGTGTGAGTTCAGTAGATGAGCAAGAGGTTTTTCCATTTAAAGTATCGAGTTGACAAGCCAAACCAGGCCGGCGTATTATTCTTACGCTCGCTAATGGATGCATGTGCAATTATGAGACTGCTGGCAATTATGTACATTGATCAGCTGCAAAATCGGAGGCCTGAACGCTGACTGCACCAACCTCTCTTAGGCTTTACAATTTTTGTGGCGTATGCTGACTCAAATTATTCTAGCTTGAATTAGTCTATTAGTCTGGATGTTTCTAAATATGTTTTATGATCAGGCAGAGCTCGAGAAATCGATAAAACCAAAATGTGCATCAGGGTGAGCACAGGACAGGTTCATTGCTTCGTAAGGTCGTCTGACTTTCGAGTTCTCAGACATAGGACTTTAATTCTTGACAGAGCATTTCTTACGAATCTCTCCTTGAGAACCCGTCAACACTTGGATTCTGCTCATCTTCACCATGGCAGCTGCAAAATCGGCGAAGAACGTGGAACCGGGTTGTGCTAATCTGGTCGCCAGGGCTAGTGCTCTGGAGTCGGTGGCGAGTGCAGCATCTGAGGTGAAAAGTCCCTCCCTGTTTATGACCTGCTTGAAGTACGTGCGGTCGAACACGTTTGGAGAAGAATCCATGGTGATAATCGTCGTGACATCGTTGGGAGGGCACTGCTTCTTCAAGTTGGCTGCCAAAGTCGAGTCCATGCTCGGGTCTGTTTGTCCATTTACTCCATTGAAGTTGTACAATCGGTTGAGAACGGGACCGCAGCGTGCTCTGCCGAAGGTGTGCGCTCCTGATCGAACGGACAAGTGAAACACGTCTGAGATTGAGTCTCATGCTTTTGATGACCACTCTGCACTGCACACGGTTTCTACTCTGCATGCTGTCCCAGATTACAGAAACCGCCACGAAGAGAAAACAAAGAGATCTGCCTCTTCACGCCACTCCGGCGCAATATACAAGTCCATTCTGAGTGCTGTCGTTCTCCCTCAGATCACTATGACGCTGAATGTAAACTGGACTGGACTGAAGAGCTGGAGACAAGTTGATTACCTGAGAGGACGATCATGTCCGATGCGTTGAGTCCAACAGCAGCAAAATTTTGAATCAGCTGACCGAGGTTCAGGAGTGGGGATGGGAGCGCCGCCAGGGCCTCCGACGCTAATGACACCGTCCCATCCCTGCGTCCGAGAAGGACGGGCCAGGTTTGACCTCCTGCCTGTTGTGTCATTACAAGGGGTAGTTCTTAATCCCAGGATCGATTTGAAGAACGCAAATCAGCTGATTAGATCCCATCACTAAGTCTGATTCTATTCGTGCTCAATGGAGCCTTCAGTGAGCAAAGAATCGATGAAATTCATCGTGAAATAGGAACTTTTCCTATGTTAGACATACCTTGACAGTGGCATCACGTGCTACGATGGCCAGTATATCTGCGCAAGAGACAACACCCGGGCATGCGGCCTCAAGGGCGGATTTAACTTGATCAATTTGCTGGAATCCTCTCAAGGAGTTTTGATTTGGTTGGGCGTCCTTCTCTTGATTCGTTGAGGAGTTCGAGAACAAAAGTACGGATGCATCACAGCCCTGAATGGTAAAAGATAAAATCGCCCTCATGTCAGCTGGTGTTTGGCATCAGAAAGATCTTTTCTAGCTTCTAGAACAATGCTCCCCTGGAGGCAAGCCGTTGAAATAATGTAGAAAGAAATGTGTTTTCAAGCCATGAGGCTGACTGACAAGATCTCATGACAAGTGAACACTATAGAAGACATTCTGCTGGGATTCTGAAGCCCGTTAGCTGTATCAGGAATTCCGCTACAAAATTTTCAATGGATATATGCTTCATGGAGTCAACATATCAGATGATGTAGAAAATTTATCATAATTAGAATGTCAATCCTTGATGTGAGGCTAGAAATATCAGGTAAACTTACTCGGACGAAGCAGTCATGGAAATGAAGGCGCTGCAGGCCCCCGGCAAGATTTGGATTTGATGCAAGGATGCTGTCAACCTGTTGTCGTACTATGGTCAATGCTGTAGGGCAGGAATTTCTGTAGAAGGTTGTGGACAGCTGCGCCTGCCCGACAGCTACCAACGAGAAGAGGGCCAAGACGACGGACGAGAGCATTGCTGTTGTCAACGCCATGGTGCTAGAAGAAGCTTTGAATCTATTCACTTAAGGAATTCGACGAATTTTTTTACTAACGACTGAATTGAATGCTAGACTGGAATTTGACTTGCCTGCAAATACGTACATTGTCAAAAACTCCGATGTCAGGGTAGCAAAAAATACAATCTTACGTGCATCATCAAGGCTAGAGGACATTTTGAACGGTTTCTACTATCTCAAGCATTTCTTTTGAAAAGGAAGTTCTGCACATGTACTACATTCGTGCACTTCATGATGAAGTTCTCGAATCTTGCTCTAGATTTCTGACAGTGAACTCTTGTACATTTGGTAAGAAGCCGCATTGGAAAAGTTATAAGATGCTTCCTATTAGAGTAACATCATGGCTTCCTCTTCACTGCAGTCAAAGAAGCATGTACACACTGAGAGCTGCTGAATTGAGTACCTGAAAGTGAAGTCTGAAGATTCAGACGCAAGTGCTTTCTCGATTCGACAACGGCTCTTCTTATACAGCGATCTATCATGTACAGGAAAAAAAAAAGATTTTTCCGAAGACTTTTGAACGTACCTACCCGAGTTTCATGCGATTTGGTCTCATACATGATCTCACGTATTTGACACACAGATGTGTAGGTATTACCTCAAATCCGCCTCAAAAAGTGCTACATCTGTTAGAGCATAATCTCCCTAACCACTTGACAAAGTGGTTAGGGAGATTTGAGAAACTTTGCTGAATTTTATTTTTTTCTTGTATGTTTGGAAATCAAACGAAATATTTATTTCATCCTACCTTGCAAAAGTTCATACTGTGAAGGAATAGTTTTTCTCGATACGGAATGCATGGCGTAGTCTTGATTAGACCATCTACATTGACGTGCAGAGTTGTACTTTCAGAATGATTTCTCATCTGAAATGACAAAATGTGGCCAGTAATTTGAGCATTCATCTGATCAGAGTTGCTGTACGACCCGTCGTGGCAAGGCACCTGCAGCCACGGGATTAGTACAGAGCATACCTTGTCATCCATCTCTAAAGTTCAGGAACTTTTAATCACTGGCGGGATAGACAATTCCATAAGACCGAAGTAATTAACGTTAGGCTGAAAAACGTTACAAGAATGCGTATAACGTTTCGCGCTGGATTTACAATTTATCATCTTAGATGATAAATCGAGACAGGGGCCCCAGCGCCTTAAGGCCAATAAAAAGCTGCCTTGCGGGGTTACCAAGTTTGATTCCTCAATGTTCCCATAGGGCATGTGTATCTTCGCTTTCAATCCGCCAGCAATGAGTTTTAGCAGTTTTTTGTCTCGGATCTTACGTCTACGTAGGTTCGAATCCTGCCTCTCCCAAGTATACTTCGTATTTTTCAAATAGAGGCGAAGTACTTCTTCAGATGTCTCGGGCAAATCCTCTCGCCAGCTTACCCGAAAGAATTGTTGGCAGAGCGACGCCAGTACATATGCTATGAACAGTCTATGTACATCCATTGCTAATCACCTTCTGGAATGGTCGGTGTGCTTGAAGGGGATTTTTCTCTTTGAAAAATTTAAGTATTCTATGACCTTGTTTACAGATTTGTAGCCTATAAATTAGTTCAAACTCGTAATCTGTTTTAAGGCACACATGTTATTTAGTAACACTGTAACTGGTGAACAGAGCCTCAACAACAGCAACAAAACTGAAGAACGGAGCCCTTTATTTTCTCAAACTCAATCCTGTATACACGGTATTCAGTCGGCTGGCATCTGTGAAGGCAACATTGGACTTCGTCTTCTCTGCGTGAAGATTCAGTCCTTCAAGTACGTTGATGCTTTCGTACTGCTTTTTTATTAGGTGAATCATCGTCTGAACGGAAACATCAGGAGGCCTAGCATCTGTGAGACATTTCATGCAAATATGATGAGAGGATTAATTAAAAGCCCTCACAAGCACCACCTGTGTGCTGGAAGCTCAATACCCATCAAAAGTCAAAATACATGTAGGTTCATTTCTGAGTTCAAAGACCAAGGACTCTCATACCATACATGGATTTTTTATGTTTGATCGAATCACTTTTGAAGCTCGATATAGAAATTTTGATAATGGCCATCATACGAATGACACCTCAAACTGTTGTTGTCAAGCGACCCGAGGTTTTCCTTCTAATGCAAAATATGCGAATTTCAAGTTCCTAGATCCGACATCTGAGAATAACGGATCTTGGATATGAATCGACTGGCTACGAAAGTTTTTCGGGACATATATGGATGTCAGTCAACATTGAGGTCAAGACTTGAAGGTATCTAAATGATATTTTTAAAGGCCATATTAATTTCAAGTCAAGCATCTCAAAATTTAGCACATACTAGGAGCTTTGGTTTGTAAGGTGCATGTCCCAAGATACATGGACCTTATCTGTTCGTGCATGTGTACAATTTACACACTAGGGAACAGAGATTACTGTAGATTATAGTCCTCTGCAGAAAGAAATGTTTTTGCAGGTTTTATACGTCCCGGAGCTAAGGATGGTGCCCAATCAACCCTCTGGCAGGAGGGAGAAGGGATTTCACAACACCGAATGTTTCTACGTTCGCAACAAAATATGCTGGATACAATACAACCAACCCTTAGGTCCGGACAGGCGTCAGAACTGTGTTCATCCTGAAGCGTTGGAGATCCGGAATGAGAATTTGGAAAAACAGAAATAAAAAACATGTAGATTCTCTATTTTGATTCTGGTGCACACCTAAAGTCTCTCATATGCACGTATACCCGTGAGATGGCTGGCAAGGTCATGATTTCCAAGACAGTTCTTCCTCCCCCGGTTGATATATTCTGTAATGCATGTCACTTGTAGTTGAGTCATTGCAGAAGTGATTGACCGAGTCTTCATCAGCAATTGCGACCTACCCTTGTTTTCACCTTCACTCTCTGGATACAGTAATGCTCAGCTGTGAGCACGCTGGCATGCTCTTTTGTGAGCACAAGGAAATCATATTGCAATTACACATTGTAAACATGTGTCCCGCTATACACTGCCTGTTTGACTCGGTATGAAAACCTTACATATTGGTATTTTGAATAAAGTCCGACTCATAATCAAGGTTGTGCTCACTTGGATCCTGCAAGTACCAGAAAGTATTCAGATTATGAAATATCTTAAGTGAGCAACTTCTCTCCTTCTCTTTCAACCTTATTCAAAGAAGACATTGCTGACTCGCTGATTTCAACCAGACAGCATCTTAACCTACCGGAGTATGACGAGATCGATATGGGAATCATCGCCTGCGTTTTAGTTGTTTAGCACAGGAAAGACACGATTTATACGTCAATTCTGAAAGTCATTTGTACGTATGTAAACAATTGAGGAATTGTGGGAGGTGATGTACTGTTTGTGACAATCCTTGGATTCTTTTTGTTTAAGGATCATAATGATAAAATATAACAAACGCCGGTCTCAAGTAAAGCTACACATGTTTATAACTACCGTCAGAATCTCGAATTTCCCGCATTCACATTATGATCCTCAGATGTTCGTTTACGTTCCAACCTGATCTTGTCGGCGCTGATTTAAAGCGCCGCCAATTCCATCCGCCATCATCTCCATTGAGAAAATATTATGGTGTGCCTCCTGTTACGTAAGATGCTACGGGTTTCAAATCAGGAATTAAGCCATCTGTTGTTTAGCTAAAGGTGTGATAGTTTCCGCAATTCCTGTCGACTTTTGCACTTGATTAAGATGATATAAATTATAAGTGTTTTATAACCGAGGTCCAAACTCAGATCAGCACTCCTAACTTGCTGGTCGGCTGAGGTACCTATGACATAGCGGGTGTCACTAGTGGATCCGGCACTCCAGAGGGAATAGACCTTTAGTGCCTCGTGAGAATTTGGTACTCCAGCTGCCTAGAGAACTGGGGCAATCAAGCTGGAGCTCGAGGTCGAAAACAGCTTAGAAGAATATCGACCAGACGAAAGCAGATCCCACGCTTATAACGTGATTGGTGGGAGTGCGATGGCAGCTGCTGAATAAAGTCCGTCAAATTGGCTACTCAAGCTAGGAGCATTCGAATGGTTACAAAGAGACGAATATGGGATAATTATAGAGGCACATTTGTGCGATAATCCACTAAAGTCAGCAACAACGTTAAGATTTTATGACCGTGAAATTCGAGTTGCTTGTCCGTGATTCGGGTACTTCAACTTTGGCAATTATGACCGCAGAATTCATGTCATCGGCCGGCTATGACTGTAATGTGCACAACCTCTTCTCTTGCCACCTACTGAGTGAGTGTTTGTTGTCAAGTAGATCTTTGCATGTAAGGATGTTGGCACTACATTGTCTTAGCTATTGTTTATAGTTTACCGATTGTGCTCTTAGCAATATTCCCGCTGTAAATTAGTATATATATTAATTACCTATGTACATTGTTTCCAGATGACCTCTCTGTTCACCTCAAGCTCAACTCGAAGTTCAAAGTTTCCAGTGAGTCTGCGCGTCAGTAAAACAGCTCTAGAATCAACATTTAAGCCATTCACAGCTTCAATAAAAAAACGTTTGAAAGCCAAAAGAGGTGTATCTTTCAACATATTTTTCAACTTGTAAACTGAGCCCACCTCATGCAGAATTGACGGGAAAACTAGAACCCTGAAATTCAATGGTAACTTCTTGAAGAGGTCAAAGATTTAACATTCAGCGGGGGAACATTATCAAACCAGAAACGAATCGAGAATCCTTTGAAAGGCAAAAACAGATATAAAAAATCAGATCTTACTTCTCATTGGCAAATTGTACCTCTCGACATTTAAGATCAAGATTCCATCGTATATACAGCCATTATTTACATTTCTATGCAAATCTGTTAGCAATGCCGAGTTTGAAATCTGTGTCGACAGCACATGTCTAGAGCCAAACTTTTAGGTGGGTAGGCAAAAACGTCGGAAACCAAAATGGCTATTGCAAATTTAAAAACCCAAAATACAACAAGCCCAGCAAGAGGAGCCGTGGACGTTCACAACGATCACGCTGCTTTTGCCTCTCATGGATTCAATGCATTACATGGTTTGTTCTTCCTCATGGGCGATGAGTATCAACGTTAATCATGAAACTTTGAGCAACTTTGGGAAACTTTGAGTTTAGGGATTTGAACATGAATCTTGCGGGGGCCATTTCTTCTTGCTGGAGTGTCAACAGTAGCTGAGATTTTGTAGGCTTGTTCAAGACGGCCGGGCGTACATACCTGCAAATTTTCAGCTTCAACGGAGCTACTGTCAAGAAGTTTTCATTTCGAAACTTTGAGTTTAGGGGTTTGAGCATGAATCTTGCGGGGGCTATATCTTCTTGATGGAGTGTCAATAGGAGCTGAGATTTGGTGAGCTTGTTCAGAACGGTCGAGCGCATATACTTGCAAATTTTCAAACTCAACGGAGCTGCTGTCAAGAAGTTTTCATTTCAAAACTTTGAGTTTGTGTAACATCTTGTAAAGTTGGGTTCATGATGGAT